GAAGGAGCTTTTACTAAAGGTTTTATTAAAGCTTATATAGTTAAGTAACTTATTTAATCTAAGTAGACCTTTAGGACCTTAATTTAGTTATCCTTCTAAGTTAACTATAATAGAGATAAGTTACTTAAATATATTAATAGAACTACTACTTAGCTAAAGCCTATATACTTTAGTAATACTCCCTCCCCCTTTAATAAAAAACTAGTTTTAATACCTATATAGCTATAACTAAGAGATATTAAGTTATAATAATACCTCCTTAATAAATAGGAATTAGTAATAATTTACTTAAGATACCTATAGTTAGATTTAAAGATACTTAAAAGTATTATAGGCACTTATAACCTCTAAAGTATTATTTTTACTACTATTATACTAAGTAGTAATAATATTATAAGAGGCTTTACTATAGCTATATATTATATTAATTAGAAAGTTAAGCTAATTTTAAGCTTACCTAAAAGCTTCTTATTAATAGATTACTTTATAATTAAAGGTATATAATAATACTACTTTATCCTCTTTACTAAATACTTTATAATACTATTTAGTAAAATAAACTAAATATAAGCTAGAATACTATTAGATATTTTAATAGAATAGATATTTATATATAATAACTACTAAGAAAATAGAGAAGCTAAGAATAAACTTATTATAATCTCTAGAAATATTAAGTACTTCTTTACTAGTTTTTTATTATACTCTTAAAAAGCTTTATTCTAATAACTTACTATTTTAGATATCCTATAAATTAGCTTTATATAGTACTTTAAAGTAATTATACTTAACTATTTTAGGTATTTTAATAACTTTAATAACTTTAATAGTTTAAATAGAGTAGTTTAAAATATATTAATAGATTAAGTTTAATATATTATAGTTAAATTTAATAAAGTCTTATAGAGTTTTAAATATAAGAGATTTAAGCTTTAATAGCTTATAAATAAACTAAAGCTATTATAAGAACTAATTAGTCTACTTACTTTAGAAGCTATTATAAAATATAAGAGATTATATAATAAGTACTTAAAGTATAATAATAAAAGGAAACTTTTAAACCTATTAAGTAAGGAATAGCTAACTCTATTAGTATTAAATAATAGGTTTATACTAATAAATAAACCTCTTAGAAGTAGTTATACTATTTAGGTTTAAGATATAAGAGAGATAATTATTATTAAGCTTAAAGTAGTAAGAGGATAAGATATAGCTATCTCCTATATAAAACACCTTTTATAGTAATTTAAAAGAATAAAGATAGTATATTAATCGCCTTATTTTACTAAAAGTACCTTTTTATAGACCTAATTTATTTTTAGAACTACTTAAAGTAAGTTTATATACTTTTATAGCTCTATTAAAGCTTTATAGTTTAGGGAAATTAGATCTTATTAAGTTATAAAATATTATAATAACTTAAATCCTAGTTTAAAAAGTTCTTTATAGACCTAATTTACTACTAACTTTAATAATTTTAAAAAATAGATTAGTTAAAACCTTATTATATTACTTAAAATACTAATTAATCTATATAATACTTAAGGTATCCTCTATATAAAAAGCTTCCTCTAAATTAAATATCTTATTATACTAATATATTTTATTATAAGAGATACTTATTATAAGGTTTAGATTTACTTACTAAATACTATATTATAAAATACTAACTAAAAAGAAGAGAGAGCTATTAATATAAACCTCTTTATAAATAAATATAAAGATAATTTATAGAATTCTAATATAGTTATATATTTCTTATAAATTAAATAAAGTTATTTTATCTACTTAGTAATAAACTAAACTAATAGAAAGAGCTACTTTATAAACTTAAACTTTAACTAATAGAGTAACTAAGAGTTTATTAATACTATTAAAGCCCTCACTACTTAATATAAGCTACTTAAAGTACTTAAAGACCTTATTACTATCCTATTATAATATACTTAAGTAATTAATTTAGTATAATAGTTTAATAGTTATAGTTATAAAGTTTATTATATTAATTAGGTTTATTACTTTATTATAAAAAGACTCCTTAATATTTATTTTAATAATAATATTACTACTAATAAGAACTTTTATTATTAAAGTTCTTTACCTCTAATTAATAAGTATAAATTATAAATTACTACTAAATTTTATAGATATAATTTAATTTATAAGAACCCCTTACTTTATTTTATAATATAAATAGTAATAGTTTATTTAAATAAAATAGCTAAAAAAGGAACTATATAGCTATTTTTAAAGTAATTTTTTAGTTTACCCCTATTAGTAAACTTACTTTAAGTACTTATAATATTAATTTAGCCTCTAGTTATTATTTTATCCCTATTAGAAAGTTTAATTTCTAGTTTTTTAATCTTAGAGGGGTATAATAATTATAATAAGTTTATATTTATAACTTCTAATTATAAAAGTTTTATTTTACTATTATATAAATCTTTAGTTCTTATTTAAAACTTTATAATTATAAATAATTATCTTATTTACTCTCTTAAGTAATTTATTCTAAAGTTAGTAGTAGTTAATTAAGTAGTATATATTAACTAATATATTAACTTTTAGGCTTAAATAGAAACTTATATACTACTTAAGATCTATACCTATAGATTTTTAAAATTAAAAGGATAGTAAGGATAGGTATATTATAAACTAAAACTTAAATAAAATACTACTTATATAGGAGAAATAAAAGAGGTTTAAGATTATAGAAATACTTACTATAGGTNTAAATATAATACTCTTATATATATATAAGTATATAAGGAATTATTTTCTAATTTAAAAAACTAAAGAGAAAATAATTAGAGATAATTAGAATAAAGTTTAATAAGTTTATTAAATTTTTTAGTATTTTTAATATTTAGAAATTAAATTATTAGCCCTTTTTAAGAAGTAAAAAGTTAGTTTAAATATAATTATTAATCCTTATAGATTAGAAGTAGAATTTATTTATTTTTTAGTAAATTTTTAAGCTTTTAATCCTATTCTTTTTATTTTAGATCTATAAAGTAAATAAGGAGTCCTTTCCTTTTTCTTTTAAGATTATAGGCCTTAAAACTATAGAGTTACATAACTATAGTAGCTGTACATACTCGAGGGCGCGTACGCGCTGCTGCGTTGCATAGCTCTCAGCCGCCGGGCCTACGACCATTTCAGTACCCCCGTAAAATTCTGCACCTTGGTACCTACCCTGAAGACGACTTCCACCTTGGGCACCTACCTCTCTCCGCTCTGTAAGGCCCGCGCAACCCCGAACGCTGGCATGCAGCACCCGGACCTCTGTACTAGAGGGAATGGGTGAAAGAAACCTACGCGCATCATTCGCAGCCGCACCTCCAAGATGCCTACCGGCGCATCCATTTTCTTCGCCGAAGAAGCCTGCTGCTTGGCGCTGAAATCGACCCGTCACTAGCCCAGCCCATGGAGTACAACACCACGACCACCAATCCAACTTCCGGCAGCCACTGGACCTCGTCCCGCGTGGCCATGTTCAGCAACTTTCGACTCGCAGCCGAGAGCTGATCCATCCGCTTTCTCAACATCCTCTGCCCGGACGACTCCCACGATCTGTCTGACTCTGTCGACACGTCAGCTCCCCTCGTCGAATCGGTTCCCCTTGTTCATACTCTCCCCATCGGCCTGATGCCCCTCGCCCATCTGCGATGTCCTCTTGTCAGCCTCGATGACGGCCGCGCCCCCTGACAATACTTCGAGCTCGACGACAGAGACAATCGATGGGAATACAAGCATACCCGGGTTTTCTCCAACATTGGCATGTCGGCTCGCAGCGGCGGGAGTCTGCGAGTGCTTTCGCATGGTAGTGTTCTCGTGCGCGAAGTTCCTAATGGCTTTCCGTCGTTTCGTCAGCTGGAGCCCAATGTAGACGGTTGAATGTTCTCTCCAAGGGCATTGTGTGGCATGTGACCATTCAAACACACTCCATGTCCCAAAAAACATGGACACACTCCTCTTGATGGATCCGAAAACGATCCTTTGCCTGTCCTCAAGTCTTGCTACCACTTGCACCCACCTTGCCAACAACCATCGCGCGCTCCAAACACCGAGGACAGTCTCGTTTGATTCAGCTTCCTGCCAGTCCAAAACCAACAAGATGATGTCTGCCGCCGGACACCTTGACAATGTCTTTCCCCACCACGAGCTTCATGATGCCTAACCCCTTTACATCCTCGGGCGGGCCAACTGACGCGTTACGCCGGCATGCAATATGGCCTGACCGCCAGTCGGCTTCATGCCTCATTTGCTCCCCATTTCAAGGAAAAGACGGGCAGGACTGGCCCACCTAGATGTTCGCGCGTGGTTAGTTATCAACATGCGAGGCCAAATAACCCCTTCCTGCATGCGAGCCATGAACAGCACCGTTCAGAATCAGGATGACGTGCATTTAGTTGTTTCAAACTGCGAAAGGTTTCATTTGATTTTCCAGAGAATCAATGCCCGCGGGATGATGATTTGGACGCAAAGCGGAAAATTTGGACCAGGTGGCCAGCGAGCGGATGGGGGGTCTAACAGGACACCGGAGTGTGGGACGTCTGCCGGACATTGGGCCTGAAAAACAGTACCCTTGCAGTCCAGGTACCGCCGGTGCCTTGGGAAACTGAACAAATGATTCACTGCACTCTGAGCCTGAGCACAATGGCCCCCGGGTCGGTTTCGCGAACGAGTCCTCTGTAAGTGCAAACCCCCCCCGAGACAGCCAACGTTCCCATCACTCTCCGCCCTCGTTAGCGTCAAGTCTGAAGAAGCAACGCCAGACAGTCACAAACGAATACAATCAATTCTGCAGCCATAAGTTGCCTGTCTCATTTCATACGTCTTTAGCAAAATCTTGGATAGCGAAATATCTTCGTTAAGTTTTGCACCTCCCATCGCAGCGCCCAAAAGACAAACTCCGGCACCCAGACCAAAAGGCTACAAGAGTAGACGTGGCATAGCACGTCCCTGATATGAATGTGCCATCTCTTAAACGTAGTCTAGGTATCCTCTTCTTGTGTCTCCTCCGCCATCTTCTTTACGAGAAGATCAATCTTGTTTTTCTTAACCCAGTCCTCCGAGTCCAGACGACGGACCGCCGTGATGGCTTCCCGGAGCATTTTCTGCTGCCTTTTGAAGTTCTCGAGGTCGGTAATTGCCGCCTTGACCTTTTGTTCGGAGCTGCACACGGCGCTCAAATCGGATTTGAGCTTTTTCGAACGTTCCACAGCGCTTTTGACGTCTTTGGTAGCCTTCTCGACACTTTCTCCGTTGTATCCTGCGGCCCGGGCGCGCTCGATAAAGGCATCTGTAGCCTCACGAATACCAACATCCTCCGCGTCGGAGTCTTGGTCTTCGGAGTCTTGGTCGTCGGAGTCCTGGTCGTTCGGGTCTTGGTCGTCGTGGTCTTCGGTGAGCGAGGCCACCATGGATGCCCACTTTTTGGTCCGCCTGTGGCGTGACACGTCCTTCAATGCTGCTGACGATGCGTGCGTCAAATCTTTGTGACGTCCGCTCAGGCTTTTCTTTCTCTTCTCGAGTTGAGGAATAAATCCAGCAGCTCGCTCACAAACGTCTTCAGCTGCTTCCTTAGGGGTCCAGTACTCGAGAAAGCGCCGCTTGGTTTCCCCGGCAGGATCGGGCGAGCCGGGTTCCTCTGGGAAAGGCCTCTTTCTTGCATTTTCCGAAGACATTGGGAACGGTCTCTCGTCATAGGCCGGTAAATTCAGGAGTGTCGTTTTGTCCTTCTCCTTGGTTCTGTGGTACGCCGCACTTAAGCATAAAATCCCGCTGGTCGCTCGGGTGTCTTTTGCTTGAAGAAGCGTCTGGTATTCATCAGCCTCTTGCCCTCTCCCATGCATCAAGATGCTTCAGAGGGACCACGAACCGTACTAAAAGACATCTCGCAATGAGGCATGAAGTCGGTGACGACTTTTCGTACAAAGCCTTCAACTCTATCCCTACGCTGTCGGTCAGGAGCACAGTCAATATGGCAGGCACTGACCAAATTCCGGGTGCCAGCCGAATAGTTCACGACATGCAGGCAGGTCCATTTGCCATTTGACTGCGCATGGTGAAGAAGAAGCACGATCTTATCGGACGTCTGGATTTCGGTAAATTGATGCTCGGGGGGGAGGGGGAAGTCGAAGACGAGGCCGGCTTTTGAGGTACCATATGATGAGTCATCATCGTCGTTGACCATACTGGGGACGACAAGCATCATGTCTCCTGGTGTCACATCCACATGGGGTGCCTGAACAAGCTTTTTGAACCTTGTCTCCCAGCTTAGAGAGGGTCTGCCTTCGGTTGAGGGTGCAGGAGCCATGTCCTCGTCGTTATCGCCGGGCTCCGGCGAGTTTCCACCCAGATCGAAAGATTGTTCTTCGTACTCGAGGCCCAAAAATCGGCTGTGAAGTTGAGTCTGGGAAGTAGCGTCCTCAGAAGCTTTGCCGTGATTGAGAGGCTGCGAAGCGGTCTCGTCGAAGGGGTCAAAGTCGGGATCAATCGGAGGGTTGCTCAGCTCTTGACGTTTTAGAAGTGACTGTGCTGATGCGATGTGCTTAGGATCTCCCCTTGCTCTTTCTGGTGTGTCGAGTTCAGAGGCAGGGTCAGGTGTGGTAGATGTCGGGCGTGTGGGTGTCGGGCGTGTGGGAGTCGAGGTCTCTGTCCGAGGGCCGCCGCTATTAGCCTGCACGAGAAATGACTTTTTCAAATGTCGAAGATCCAAGACGCGCAGTCGACGAGTCCCTTTTGCGTCGGTGTGGACTGCTCCTTCGAGGAGGCCGCTAGCCTGCCACAGTGATTCGAGCGGTATCTCGCGTGCAATTGCGACTTTCGTGATGTGGGAGAGACAACTGACGAGGGTCTGTCCGGGCGTGCTGGTGTTTGGAAAAACAGACTCTGGGTACCACGATCGACGATCACCCTACTGGCCATCGAGGTATTCCAGTTGTCGTTGGTGCCGCTTGGCGTCGGCGGACGAATACTGCTCCAAACGACGGTCTCTTGCTTGGATATGTATGTCCTCCAATGCGTCGTCGTCTAGCAGCTCTGATGCAAGTTTTCCTGCTGCCTTGGCGGTCGAGACGTTCGCGATGATCCCAAGACAAACGTTCGATCGGACCGGGGTGTCGGAGCTCTGCACGACGTGATGGACTAGATTTCGGAGCTTTGTCGGGGACGTAACAACGGCTTGGCTTGCCAAGTGCTGGACCTGCAACAGGGGAGTATTGATAAGCGAGGGAAGGCGCTTTGGAGAGGGCAGAGTCATACTCACTGTTTGAATGTGAGCTGCGGCTTCTTGGTGGTCGTCTTCTGGAGCTTGACTTGTGGTTGTCGGCCGTGGTCGCAGCTCGCGCATGTTAATCGTCGTGGGTGATAATCTGGTGGTACTTGGGAAAAGGTCAACGGCGTTCAAAGTTCATGCAGACCATATTTCTGCAGAGAAGCAACAACAAAATGTATGGAATTAGGAACGGGGATGTACGTCGCATGCTGCGCAGACAGACGCGACGACACTTCGTCAAGTTGCCTCGGGCGGAACAGCAGGCGGGCAGGTCGTGTGTGAAAGACGTACCACATGACCTAATCTCCGGGCTATCCACCCAGCTTGGGAAGCAGCCAGCTGTGACGATAAGAGTGTGGTCCATGGAAGCGTGGAAGTGGCAGGCGGGTGGGTACCTAAGGTAGGTGCAGGTGGGCAGGTGTCCAACGCCCCTTCCGTTAAGTAATGCCTGCTGCCCCGATGTGTGTGATTGGCGCGTGAGGGTCGGTGCCGTCTTCTGACGATGGTACAGCTCTCTGATTGGCCGCAGCGCCACAGGCAGGCTAGACTGCATGTTTTTCATGGCCATGACACCGGGCGATCCACGACTCTCCACTGAAGAGAAATGTCGGGTGCAAAGTTGAGGCAAGGCAGAGTCGAGGGCGGCAGGAGCATTGCGGCTTTGGATATTGCACTCTGCCAGAGCTCCATGAAAGATATCAATGCAGGCAGGTGTCGACGAACAGCAAGCTGGAAGAATGCATCGGACGTGGCGGCAATAAGATGGTGCCGGTCGGTGATCCATGTCTTCGGCTCGGCCCGTCCCGCCCCCTGTCCGCCCCTGCGAGGGAGGACTTCAACGGCGTGCACTGTGACGAATTCGCAAAGCTTGCTCGCAAAGATTGAGTCGAGGCAGAACCCCAGCGGTCCCACCTAGCCTGCCACAGCTGCGAGCGTTGCAAACAGTGTGATGCAGTCGCCAGAAGCTGGGCCATGACTTCGCAGACTAGGTACTCGAAGTTTCTCTCCTGGTGGACGGGGATGTGCGGGAAAGGGTCGTGGCTTAGAGCGACTGTCTTTGCAGCGAAGCTGATGGTCTGTCTCTCGAGACATGGGCTTGACGTTTGCTGCCAGCTTGGAAATGTTGACGGCGCCTCAGTGGACGGGAAGTGGTGACGTCCTGTCGTCACCTGCAAAAGTGACATGCCCTGGGCACCGACTGTGGATCCTGCCCTGCAGGTAAGTACCTCACTTAAGGCACCTCAAGGTAGGTAGGTACCAACGTAGGAACTAACTGCCGATTTTGCGCGGTAGCAAATGTCGATTTTTCCAGGTACCGACTGCCGATTCCAGCGCCAGAATCGGCAGTTGGTCTCTGGCACCGAGTCAGCCTGGACCTGTAGTGTCTCTTGTCCACACGTCACAGCGTCTCGACTGCTCCCGTTGCACTGTGGGTCGCAGTCCTCTTGGCGCGTGTCCACCACATTCCCTCCTCTGACGCCTTCGTATTGTTCACATTGTTCTTGGGCATTCAGCGGCGTCCCTTTCGTTGGCCTGTCTCTTTTTTTCCATCTCTGCTTCAGACACTCCGTGCCAAAACCACCGACGCCAATCTCTGGTATGCTAATTACTTTACTGGACCCAACATTTCCCAACGAGCATCATGGACACATGACGACCAATGCCACCAGAGCCTGCCGTACCCGCATCCACAGGAGCTTCAGCACGAACGAGGCTGGCAAAGCCAAGCTTGCTGATATGACGCCAATGTCGGCCAGAGCTTTGCCATCGAAACGACCGATTCCTTCTCCTCCGAGCTCAAGGAACCTGAGGATGCGGACAATGCGGACGAGTGGAAACGTCCTGTCATTGTCTCTCTGGCGACTTGAAAGGTGTGCGATGACATTTCCACGACCACCTGCGAGCGTCGCTAGTCCCATGCCGCCGTCCCCGACTGACATCGCCCTTTGAACAGCCGTACCGATCAAGAGAGAAGAGCGGGCGTCGCTGATACGAAAACGAACAGATCCCCTGCCACCATCGAGACCGAGAGAATTGGACTATCAAGGAACCCCCCCGACACTGGTTACAGACAATTGGTTGGCGCCCCGTCGCTCAAGGCACCAAGCCTGTTGCGCGGCCCCGCCGACCGGCAACATTTTCGCATGCTCTTTTAGCAAGGCGCTTTCTTCCAAAAGGTCTTTTGGTGCACCCCTGGGCTTCAACTCGACCGCGTCAGCGGAGTGCAATGGCATGGGCTCGTTGGAGGACCTCCGCGCCTCTTGCCTCGGACACCCTCCAATCGATACCTGGCACACGTTCGCGGGGATTAGATTATGTACGTCAACAAACACCTGTCGAGCGGAAGACCCAGGTCCCTGGCAGCATCAATGCTGACCAACAGGGGATCGGATACTCAACGACTAGCACAGAGCCGCAACACATTCTCCTTCGACCCCGATTCGCCCTCCTCCAGGTTCGGCGCAATACGTGTTTCCACAGATGACCGAATCCAAACCCGAAACTGCAATCTCGTCCACTTATGGTTGTCTTCTTCCGGCTGGCATGCCGTCGCCCCTATCGGTCGGCGGCGAAAGGCGACACCGAGACACCTCAATGCTCTCCGAAGCGGCGAGGTTTGGCTGAGGGGCTTTTGCCAAGTGCTCCAGGAAAGTTGTCTGCTTGGGATATTCACGGCAATGAGCGGTGGACTGCAGGCCCAGCAGCGCCTCTCGAGATTGACCTGGACAGACATAACCCATCCATGTCCCTTGCGTGGGACCATACTGCGATGTGCTAGTTTAAGCAACCTACATAGCTTCATCCCCAGGCAAGAGAATCTGACAGTCATGATATTGATTGTCCACTATTTTCTGCTCTCTCGATTGATGCTATTGTGCTGGCCCGAGTTCTCGCCGTGACGTTACCGTGTCGGGGCCCCTTCCTGTTCAGTGGCTACATGCTGAAAAGTCAGCACCGAGCCACTGAACCCAGTCGGAACAGCCACTAACCCCACTGCAGCCTTCAAAGCACGCCATGCTCGCGTGTCGTCAAACATTCGGAACGTTGGCTTACACGGTTATGCAAAGGGAGGATCGCGGCGTGCACTGCAAACGACCTCCATCCCTGCTCCGATTTGGGAGCTACCTTGATGGGCTACCTCGACGGTCAAGTGGGAAATTCAATGGTGCGCCAGTTGGAAAATGTCACAGTCAACCAGGTTCACAGTCGTCAAATGGATGGCGTCCTACCTACACCCCACTCACCGAAAAAGCTGCCACTCCAAGACACTGAGCTCCACCCCTGCGGCTTGGGAACCAGTACTTTCTGGCGTCTCCAACCCTTTGGCGTCGACTACTCCCAAACCCTTGCGATCGTCGACGAACGTATGCTTCCTCACAGGACCCCCACCCAGTCCTTGAGAAGTTGGCCTGCATGCCAGTCAATACATTTCCCTCGTCGGTCACGTTTTGGAGGATGGTCTTGGTCCATGACCTCCTCTATGCTCGCAGGAGTTGGTGTCGTCTCTTGGTGGAGGCAGTTCAAAGAGGGGGACGTGAACCGCTGCAGCTCCGCTTTCGACGTGCATTTGTGACCACGCAGTTGCTCGTCTGGGTCATCTACACTACCCGCATGCGATTCGCCCGGCGAGGTGGGTGAATTCAGCTGCATCGCATCACCGCGTCCATCAAGAGGGGACTCGACGTCGGTTACCAACACATGCGGCCATACCCAGTGGAAAACTCGGGATCCCGTCCGCTCTCCCAACGATAAACCACTGAGGGCCGGAGTAGTAGTCGGGTCGGTGACGACCGGTGAATGCCTGGTGCTGCATGTACAACACAGGTGCATCCATTTCTTTTGGATTTTTGGTGGTTGGGGACCAAAGCACGCAGCCTGTGTCTGGTGGGGGACCTGATATGGTAAGCTGTGATTGGTGTGTGGAAGCGTACCATCTGCCAAGGATGGTACGGAGGATGGTAGAGCTCTCCCATTGGCTGCATCGCATTATCCGTATTAGTGTTCCCCTCCAGGGCACCGGTGGGTAGTGCACCTACCGCTACCTAGCGTCGTGGGTAGCCGAAAGTCCGCTACCTACAGCGCCGTGGGTGGCTGAAAGTCAGCTACCTAATCTAGGGAGTCCTGGGAAAATCGGTACGTGCTGACACCACACCCCTTGGGACGAATTGACCCCAGTGAGAAAAGAGGCAATCAAGTGCTCAGGGCCTTTCTGGTGCCAGGTCCATCCAAGTAAGAGGACCATGCTACACGTGCTACTGCACACTACGAGCTCAAGGGTCGGCCCGGCCCGTCCTGCTGGCAGAATAATTCCACTTCCACTCCTTCTTCGGCTAAGGTACGGTAATGGGTGCGCTGGCGAGTGTTTTGAGGCGAGAAAGAGATGTGCTGGAGTGGTTGACCGAGTTTGCATCAATCGAGACGTCCATTGGCCATCACAGCATGAGGTGTGCACCGCTGCGGCGTTGGTGCCCGCCCCACTGCTGAGCACAAAAAAGGGAAATGCTCCCACCGAGGAAAGCTCCCACACACTCTGCCCGCTGAGAGGAAACTTGTTGGTGCCGTCGTCTCCCAACATCCCCTCCCCGGTCCCCCGACGCGCGCATTTGCCAAACCAGGACAAACTCTTGCTTCCAACCAACGACAATTACGGATAATGTGCGATGCATTGCATCTTTCGGCGACAGAGCCCGCCTCCGCGCCCGCCTGACCCGCCGCCGTCGCCCCCTTTCTCCTCCCGCGCAGCCTCGTCTGCTGAGACCGTGACGATGGTCGTTTCCCGCCGGAGACTTGTGCTGCATCTCAATCCTCGCGCGCTCTCGCATCGCACATTGAAACATCCGCAATCTTTTGCCACAAAGACTTTGTGATACCTCTTGGACGGACGCAAGGTGTGTCGCTCTCAATCGCCCCGCAATCCTGACTTGTCGCAATCGCGAGAGCTAGCCTGTCTGTGGTGTGCCGTGTCTGACCTCAATTCGCTGTAGCCGCCACCACCAACCATCGCCGACTCCAACATCCGACGATGCTTCTCGACCGCGAATCAGACATGGGACCTCCGAAGAAGCCGAGTTCGAATTGTGCGCCCTACACAGACCGATTCTCCATCGACGCCCACACTGTTCCGCTCCGTTGCGAGGCTTCCTGCGAGGACGCGGTCGCCGAGACGCAGACGCCGACCGAAAACCACGACGACGTGGCCGCCGAAGCCAGCACGTGGGGATACTGCACCATGCGAGGCTTCTACCTCTCCGAGATGAACCAACATCTCGAGCAGCTCGTCGACGCGAAGCTCGCGGACGACAAACGGGCTGCCGCTCTGCAGCGCGTGGCACAGGCTGCGCGCGATTACAGCTGGTGCTACGACCGCGTCGCTCCCGAGCTGCCGCCGAGCCCTCCCAACGACCGATACCGACCGACTTCTCCGCTGCGATCCATCTCGCACAAGGACCTGCATGACCGAGTGTACAAAGCCGTGCAGGACATTTGGGAGATTGCGCATCACGCCCCGACGACCACCACTACCATCGTTGGGGGGTCCATTGCTGACTTGATGATCCCGCTGGTTGTGTCCCGGGCAGGCTGCCTCCAGAGCTTGGACGCCGAATACCAGTGGCGCATGTACGGAGAGGACGCCAGTCTTGACGCAGCGCTGGAGGGCACGATTCGCAAGCTGCACATTACCTGCTGCAACAACTTTGCAGGGCTCTGCACGGGTGACAGATTCAGGACTCGTTTGATGCAGAGCAGCCACCTTTGACGGGGTGGACGGACGGTGGCATTGTGCGGACGACTTCAATTCGGGACAGCGCTCGAGGGATTCTGGGAAGATGGTGGTGTCTCGATCGAGAGGAACCCCGCGGGCGGGGAGGACGCGGGGGAGGGGACACGGGGGAGGGGACACGGGGAAGGGGACATTCTCATAGTCATACTTTGGAAGTCATAGCTCTCGCACAAGGATAATGAGCTTCGTTATTAAACCTGGATTGAACAGCCGGCGACTGCGAGCTTTTCAACCGTCTGCACATCCAAGATGTCTCCTGCGAGACGGTAGTCGGCCAGGCCCAGGCCCGAGGCCTAAACCCTAGCCCAAATCCCGCCTTTACGTAAGGGATCAGCTATACTACTTTGTAACCAGGCGTACTTAGCGCTTATAGCTAGATTAATTAAGCTACTTTACGTAGGTTATAAGCCCTCTAAATACCTAAATCTATTTACTAGATAGTGAGGTTATTCCTAAGTAGCTATTAGGATTCTAATTTTATAATTTAGTAATTACTATAAAGTAATTAATAGATTATTAAGTTACTAGAAGTAATACTTCTAAGTAGAGGTTATAGCTATTATAATATATATTCCCTATTTATAAAATCTCTTTAACTTCTAAGTTACTAAAGTTAATAATTATTTAATAATTACTATAGTTATATAGTAATAACTATTTAATAAATATCTAATAATTACTTATAACTACTTTTTAAACCTCTCTTAAACTACTAAATTAATTAAATAAATTAATATATCTTTAATTAGTAATTTAACTCTATTTTCTTTTAGCTCTATTAGAAGGGGATTATTTTAGACTAGCTCTCCCCCTTTTTCTATTATAGACTTTATAGCTAGAGTAGCTATATAGAAAGTAGCTAGTAAGAGATTAAATTTAAGAAGTTTAATATATAATACTATCCTTAAGTTAATTAAAGCTATAAGTTTTAAGTTATAGGAGATTAATCTTAAGAATACTTTTAAGGTAATAAGATTACTCTTCTACTTAATAGCTAAAAGGATATTAATTAGATATAATAGAGATATAGTTTTTAAAGAAGATAAGGTAGTAGTAGTTAAGGATTTAAGCTCTTTAGGTAATCTAATATTTATAGGTTTTATACTTACTAGATAGTTATTTATAGAAAAGATCTAATATAATCTCTTAGAAGAAATAATTAATAATAGTCTTTTTATTATAGTTTTAGCCTTCTATATCTTTATTAAGACTAAAAAATATACTTAGAAGTTTAATAAATTAGCTATAAGTAAAGTTTATAATAACTAGAATAGAATAATTAGAATTAACTATAGTAATATTAAGGATTTTATATAAAATCTTTACTTAACTTTTAATAAACTAAATAGTTTTAATATAGGCTTATTAACTATAACTCTTACCTATAGACTTATCTAAAATTTTAAATATTTTAATTAAGTTAAAGTAGACTTTATAGAGAATAACTTTATTATAGGGATTTAAAACTATAATAACTTCTTATAAGAATTTAGAGACCTAAATAAAAAGGAATAATATAAATAAGCCTCTTAAAGTATTAAAGCTTTATTAAATAAGAAGAAGTTTACTATAAAGAGGTAAACTTAAGTTCTTAAGTCTAAAAGTATAGAACTATAGGATTTATATATTTCCTATAATATTAAGTATCCTAAGACTCTCTATAGATATAAGATATATAACTATTACTATAGAAAGATAATATTATACTTAGATAAATATAATAATTATTCCTTTAGATATTATAGGTACTATATATTAGTATATAATAAGTTTAAGTATACTAATAAACTACTAATAACTTAGTAATTAATAATATAGGTATCTACTTTAGTATTTACTTTAAAAAGCTAAACTTAAGATAATATTTTTAGAAACTTTAGTATTAAATAGGATATTAACTAATAATCTGAGGCTTTTATAGATATCCTATTAGCTTAAGTTTAGAAGAGGACCTTTCTACTATTCTTAATAGAAGATTTTAGAGTATTTAGTTTATACTTTAACCTTTAACCTCTAACTAAAGATCTATATAAAATTATATATATATAGGGAGTTAGGAAGTAACTAATAAAGGAATCTATATACTTTAGTTATAGTTTTACTAATTAAGCTATAGATATAAAGACTAATAGTTTCTTTATATATAGTACTATTAAGGAAGTTAATAAAGAAGAAAATAATAACTAGGAAGTATAACTAAGTTAATATATTATATCTATAACTTTAATTAGGAGGATAGACTTCTTTATACTAGATATTAGTATTAGTAGATATATTCTTAATAATCTCTCTATTTTTAAGGAACTTTAAGATCTCTCTTAAGGATTAATTATAAACTATATAGGTAAAAAGGACTAAATTAGCTAGGTTATTAATATAACTAAGGTGATTACTATTAAGCTAAGTAGTAAAAAGACTATTTTCTAACTATATAGTACTCTCTATAAACCTTATAATATAGTATAAATTATTAGTATTAGTCTTCTTTAGAAGATAGGTATTTATTTTAATAGTCTAGATAATACCTTAGTTTATAAAGATATATCTAAAGCTATTACTAACTTTAAATAGGATATATAAGTCCTTTAGTTTTAGATCTATCCCTCTAACTAAGGTAATAAATTTAGTTTTCTTAGGCTAGATTACTAAACTTTTTATACTTATTTAAGGTATCTATTTAGAGAAGTAACTATTACTACTATAAGAGATACTAATATAACCCTCTTTAGAGTACCTCTTATAGGATATAAGTATTATATCTACCTTATAGTAAAATTAATATAATAACCTAGTAATAGATAATAAGAATAACTAACTTAAGCCTTTTAGAGGCTTTAGATTAATTTCTTAGAACTAATACTATAAGGTTTTAGAAGTATTACTTATAGCTTTTATATTATAGAAGCTTTCTTAAATTATAGATAGTTCTAAATATTTAAATTAAAGAAAGATATAGCTATTTAACTATAAAGTTAGTTTTTAAGAAAGATTATAGTAATAAATAGTATTATTTACTTCTCTAAGGTTATTATAGATAATAATATAGTTCTTCTTAAAGTAATAAAGCTTTTTATTTAAGAGTAGGGTTTTATTTTAGAAATAGTAATATCTTACTCTTATTAGTAAAATAGGGGGGTAGAAAGTTCTAGTAGAGCTATATAGTAAAAAGTATAAGTAATATATATAGAAACTAGTTTTCTTAAATCTTTCTAGTTTTAGTTAATAAAGACTTCTATAGAAGTTAGTAATCTATTATCTAATAGTAAGGGTAATATTAGTCCTTATAAGAAACTAATAAATACCTTTAATATATCTCCTATTATAAGAAAACTATATATATACTATCTCTACTACTAAGGCTATTAAACTTATATCTATATTTACTTAAATAGCTATTTATATATAAAAAGGTAGAAGATAAGGTTTAAAGCTAAACTTAAAAGATTTATAGAATATAATAGCTTCTATAGTAATATCTTCTATATTCTTATTAAAAAGACTAATAATATTTAGTAGGTAAGGAATATAATATTTAAAGAAGATAAAGGAGAGCTCCTCTTAATTAAATTTAATAACTTATAGCTAGAAGAAGAGGTTAAGTTAGAAACCTATAAATATAATAATAAACTACTAACTATAACTTATAAAGCTAAGTCTTAGCCTTATAATTTAAATATAGGGTTATACTATTATATTTATTCTATTAAATAAAAACTACTATAAGAGGAGGTAGATAATTTATACTTAGAAGAAGCCTAAGAATTAGAGGGTAATAATAAATAAGAATAGAAAGATAAGCCTCCTTAAGAATAAGAAGAAGTTAGTAGAAAGAGGGGTAATTTACTAACCTTAGATTTAGAACTATATATATTAATACTAGATATTAGTACTATAAATATATAGGTATAATTAATACTAGAAGAAGTTTCTCCCTTATAGTAAAATAATTAATATATTCCTCTAAAGTAATATTCTCTTATTACTCCTCTAGGGTAGAGATCTCCTATTACTCCTTAGTAATAATAACTACTAGAGGATACTCTATAATAATAAGGCTCTCTTAGTATTTTACTCTAAACTCCTTACTTAATATAAGGAAGATAGAGGGGAAGATTAAAAAGTAGTAATAAGGGCTCTATCCTTATAAGATTACTAAGAATAACTACTTCTTCTTCTACTTAAATAACTTAAATACTTAGAACCTAAGTACTATATAATATAAAGAAGTTTAATAGGGAATTTAGTAAGATAAAAACTATAGAGATTAACTTAATTAATAATAAAATAGACTAAGAACTAGTTATTTTTACTTTCTTAGTATCTAACTTATNTAATAATAAAATAGACTAAGAACTAGTTATTTTTACTTTCTTAGTATCTAACTTATTATAAACTTTTAATTTAAAGATTTATTTACCTATAACTTTTAAGAAATAGGAGGTAATAGAAGAAGAACCTCTAAAGTTAGCTATCTTTAATACTATAAAGACTTAAATTAATAGCTTATAAGGGATAAAATACTAATAACTTAAAAAGTTTTTAGATAACTTTAAATATCTCTTAGGTAAATAGGTATATAATAAAAAGGTTACTATAGATAGAAGACTTAATAGAATTAGAGTAAGATAGGTTATTTATAGTAACTTTTAAGATAAGGATAGTAAGATAGTTTATACTACTATTACTAATCTTATTATTTTATAAGTCTTTTTACTAATTATAGTATTTAAAGATCTAGAACTTTATTAAGTTAATATAGTTATAGTTTTTTTAAATACCTTTATAAGAGATTATAATATCTTTATTACTTAACTTTATAGGTTTAATAATAGATTTAGTTAGTTCTATAGATTAAAAAGAGCTCTCTATAAGTTAAGAGAATCCCCTCTTCTCTAGTATAAATAAATTATTACTATCTTTAAGTAATTAGAGTTTAATCTACTCCTAAAAGAACCTTATATTCTTATTAATAAGGA